AGTTGCCGAGTGAGGTAGTTCATTTGGTTGGGGTATCGCGCTGGGATTTTATTTGGCAAGTTTTGTCCTATATGGAGAAGAAATCGCATTGAGTCGGTTTGCTGTTTCTGTTGGTGGTAGTTGGGGTTATTCGTTTTTTGCTAATTTTATTTCGCCATTTCGTGATATCTTTTTGTTCCCAGAATTTCTGATAGGGTTTTCCAGGTCTTTTTTATATCACCTCGTAAGTTGGATAATCTGTTCTCATAATACAATTTTTTTGCCCTCTTATCAGGCCCTGGTTAGGATGACGAGTAACCGTTTTGTCTGGTCTCGGGTTATGTGACACCATTCTGTATCTGTTTTTCATATTGGAGTTTCCAGATTTAGTGCCCTTTTATGTACCTCGAGTTTTTGTAGAGGTTTAGCCAGACAGGGAATGACAGATTTTTGTATCTATTATCGTGTCTATGGGTCCTGTTGCAACTATCAAGAAATTATTTTAGTTCAGGGTTAAAATTAGAGTTTATGGTTCTGTAAATGTAGGTTGCACAATAGTAGGTGTGAATGTTCTGTACAGTGAGTGGGTAGGTAAGATACATAGGCAACAGCTAGGCAACTTTGTTCCGAAACGTTTCGCCTACACAGTAGGCTTCTTCAGTCGAGTACAGAAAGTAGGCTGGGACAGTAGAGATGAGAAGACGATGAATTCAATCCATCACTGTAGCCTTGAAGTCATAGAAAGACATCAGTAGGTATAGGGAGATGAAGAAACCCTTCATTGGCCTTCTATCTAAGAAAATCAAGGACATCATCAAGAGGGACATTGGTGAAGAGAGACTCAACGTCAAGACTAAGCATCTTACAGGTCGGGAGAGAGCGAACGCGTTCAACGAAGTCTTATGTGCGGGTTATTTGTGTATCGTTCCAGTCACGGTATTGTGCCTTTTTTGTTATTTAGGTGAGTTGCTGCTGTTAATCCCCATATATATATAGCATAGGTGAGGTAGGGATAGACGAGTGAATAGTAGTGTGAGCAGGGCTGGTTATGGTACATAGTAACGTATCTTAGAGGGGATCCCAACTGTTTTGGATACTTTTTTTTGTTATTTGTTGGATATGGGTGTCGAATTTCAGGTTTGTCTTCAAGGTGCAGTGCCGCAGGAATTTGCCCTCATATGTTCTAGCAATAGAGTTGTTGCCATCGATAAAGGTATCAGCTGGGCATGCACCCTGTTATGTTACCAACCGAATGTAGAAGGTTTAGTCAGTACTAAGTGTAAGCTCACGCTGTCATCCAGTCGATATTTTACTAGTTTCATTTCGTTAACAATATGTAAGTGAGGCAAGAATAGGGTGGGAGATGACATATGGTCCGTATCGTCCAACAAAGCTCTACCTAATGTTGTGAAACATTAGGTAATCATGTATGTAAAGAGAAAGAGCAGGGGACCAAGGACACTTCCCTGTGTTAGCTCCTATAATCTACTGGTCATGTGATGAGGTTGTGAGTCGCTTAATAGTGAACACATTGCTGCGTGCTACCTGGGTCATATAACTGAGAGAGTTTCACGGGGTCAACGCCCCCGCGGGCCGTCTGTGACCAAGCCTCATGGTTGATCAGAGCCTGATCAACCAGGCTGTTACTGCGGCTCACGCAAACCAACGTACTGAGCCAACACCCGCTGATGAGGAACCCCGACATATAGGTGCTATGTCCATGCCCGCTTGAAGACTGCCAGGGGTCTGTTTGGTAATCCCCCTTTATGATGCTGGGAGGCAGTTTAGAACATGTCTCGGGCCCTGAGACACTTAATATATGGTCCTCTTAACGTGCTAGTGACACCCTGCTTTCATTTGGGGATGTTTGCATCGAGTCTAGCCAAGTCTTTTGAGCTTTCGAGTAGTGTCGTGAACTCGTGAGCAAGCTCGGTACTAGTCCCTCTAGATTTTACCAGGTTATAATAATCCATGTATCCTCCCGCCGCGTTCCAGGGAAATACAGTTCAGGAACCTCAAGCGCTCCCAGTAATTGCGGTGTATTTATCTCCGTTATGCGCGCCGAGAAGGTTCCCTGTACATTTCTAGGTCAGCAATTTACATCCTTGCCTTTGGAAAGGTGCTGTTAGTGTGCAGCAATATTCCAGCCTAGAAACGAACAAGTGACCTGAAGAGTGTCCATCATGGCTTTGGCCCTCCCTATTTTTGAAGGTCTCATTATCCATCCTGTCATTTTCTCTACAGCAGATGCGATTGATACAATGTTAGTGGTCCTTGAAGTGATATCCTGACCGACATGATCACTTTGTCCCAGTGTCTTTGGACGTTTGGTGTTTCGCTCTAATTTGTGGCCAGAATTTGTTTTTGTAACGCTGATGAAGTTTGTAATTTCCTCGTGTTACCATATCTGAGTAATTGAAATTTCTCATCGTTGAACTTCATATGTTTTCTTGCAGCCCACTGAAAGATTTGGTTGATGGTCCGCCTGGAGCCTTGCAATGTCTGCAAATGAAAGACACTGTCATGGCAGATTCGGTGTGTCCATCTGCAAAGGAAGACAACGTTGCTGTGGCTTACATCCTTGTCTATGTCGGATATGAGATGAGGAACAAGATGGAGCGAGTACTGTGCCTTGTGGAACAGAGCTTATTTTCACGCGTAGTAGCTGCCTCGGACTTTACTCTGTTGACATACACTCTCTGTGTTCTGTTTAGTGAGGAAATTATAGATCCATTCACCGACTTTTTCCTGTTATTCCTTTAGCACGCATTTTGTGCGCTATTACGCCATGGTCACACTTGTCGAAGCTTTTGCAAAGTCTGTATATAATTAACATCTGCATTCTTTTTGTCTTCTAGTGCATTTAGGACCTTGTCGTAGTATCCAAAGTTGAGACAGACAGGAGCGAAACTGTTTCTAACCATGTTTTCCCTTGGTTTGTAACTGATAGGGTTTTCTAGATGGGTGTTGTTCTTTGCTTCCTAGGACCTCTTCAAAGATTTTTTATGATATGGTATAGTTAGTGCTATTGGGTCTGTAGTTCTTTTGCTGTTGCTTTACTGACTCCCCTTTGATGAGTGGGGCTATGTCTGTTGTTTTTAGTAACTGTGGGGACCGACCCCGAGTCCATCTCCCTCTCCATAGGATGGAAAAGGCTCGTGCTAGGGCCTTCTTGCAGTTCTTGATGACCCAGAGTTCCATGAGTCTGGCCCTGGTTATGAGTGCATGGGCTAATGTCATTTATCGTCCTGTTCGAAAGTCATTTGGCTCCAGGATAACATTCGTGATAGGAGCTTGTTTTAATCAATTTTGGGGTTGGGAATTTATTTCAGGCCTCTGCACTCTTGAGTAGACAACACCATCAATGTGGTTCGTTGGTTACTTTATGATGAAGGTCAGGAAGTCTTTTTCTAAGTGATGCAATGTTCCAGCTTAATATAGAAAGTTTATACGAGTTTTGATCCATTATAGTAGTCCTGGGATCTTGTTGAGTTTCTTAACCACAAATGTCCAGCTAAATATAACATTAAAGGTTCTTACATTGTAAGACAAACCGAGGGATAATTCTTAAATTTGCACCTTGACAACAACTAAAAAATCAACAATCATATCCAGGACATAAGAGAGGTCTATGTACCTCAAACAGCATTACTTACATTATTTACTGCTCTCTTATCCACCATTACCTCACCTATTTGTGCCTGGGGATCTACTACACCAAATCACCTAAACACGAGAGGTCACCCATAACACACACCCCGACACCTCAAAAAAATAAAATTATTCATTGTACATATTTACTCATACTACTGTGCATTCTGTATATACAAGACAATAAATTCTAATATAAACCCTGTTCTGAAACTCTTCCCTGAGATCTACAATAGAACTCAGACGTAACGGAAGACAAAAAAATCTCATTGATATTCCCAGTATTCGACTCAACCTGTGTAAAAACTCAATCAAGTCTTATGAAAGATCTTAAAATCTTTAAGTATCTGCCTGAAACCTGCTGTTTTCATCAAGTTTTTTTGCTGTTCTTGTTTCATCTATCCTCCAACTCGGGATGGAAATATAATCACTTAAGCAATATAATGTGATCCTTTTTTTGACAACGTTTCGCCCACACACTGGGCTTTATCAACTCCTATATTTTACTAGATAGGCTTAAACTATCTCGTTATATTTTGCACTGTAACATAAATAACTAGTACCACTATGCTTTCTGTTTTCTTTTTTTTTTATAAATTAACATGAGATACAAGATAAATATTAATTCCCTGCTAATACTGATATTTATACTCTTAGAGATAGCGCTTCTTTTTGATAATAATAATAATAATAATAGACTCTTAGAGAAACAAGAATAAACAAAAAGTGAGTAAATTTTAAGTAAAGTCTGAGATATGTCTGAGATGTTATATATCCCCTGGACTTCCTCACTATTATATCCAAGGTTGAGGGACTGATTACCTCATCTTCTGTATATAGTCCTACTGTCTAAAAGTTATGTCCTGGAATCTGTATTGATAAAGCCACTGGATGGCGAAACTTCTACAATAAAGATGCCCAGATGTTGCACATGTTCTTAATTTCATACCCACAGGGTGTTCGAGGGGTCAACGCCCCCGAGGTCCGGTCCATGACCAGGCCTCTACCAACTTTGTAATATCTGCTACAAACTTTATAGCAAATTGTTTAGCTAAAACTTACAATAACTGGTTTTGCAAAAAAAAAAAAAAAATAGTTGTACGTAGTTGTAAGTTTATTTTAGGCTGGCGAGGAGCTCTGTACAACCAGGGGCTCTCTAAGTATATCAATAAGCGTATATCAATAACACCACTTTATGAATAAATTATAAGTAATACTTTTGTAGAAATAAACTTTATAATTTGTTATTTATCGTTAATCATAACCTATAGGTAAATATAATAAATATATTAGGTCCGTTGTAGCTGCAGTTAAGTTACAACGAATCTATTTATAGTTGTTTTGCTGATTTTTTAAAGTTGTGACATCACCGTATCAGTACAAGACGGTTAGTGATGAATAACGAACAAACTCAGTTATAAATATATTAGGTCCGTGGTGGCTGGTGTGGTGAGAGCGCGCATGCGCAATGGTGCTGAGATCCTCTCACAACAACCATGGCAGCCAACGGGGTGAGTTAGCAAATCTTTCAAATTATCGCGTTTTATTTATGTCATCGGTCAGTGTTGGGTGAAACTAACATACATATTAACTGTGGCAGGTGTTGCTGCACATACCTGCCGTACGGTACGTTGATGTTCCGTTTCAGTTTTTTTATTAGAGAGGTTGTTTGTGTTGCCGGTTTCGTGTTGTCTGGCAGAAAGTAACCATGCTCTGCCAGGCTGCCTGCCAGGCTGCCTGCCAGGCTGCCTGCCAGGCTGCCTGCCAGGCTGCCCAAGCCTCCTGTCTGCCTCTGAGATTCCCTTGTGCATTCTGATTTTTGAACGTAAATTGAAATACGTGATTGTCATACTAGATAAAATATGTGGTGTTATACCTTTTATATGGCTGCAGATGAATGGTTCATACCATAATAAGTTATTGGGACATAATAGTGTTATGTAAATATCTCTTCTAGTATGCTAGTAATTAAGCCCTGGTAATGACGGTAGCCACAGACTAGTGAGTTATTTGCGACAGTGAGAAGACTGGCCAGCCAGCCACTCCTATAATATATCCTAACTTTTTTCACATGCTGCTACCCCTCAAGGAAGGTTCCTTGATGTTGGTGAGGGGCTCTTGATTTAGGGAATTGGATCTGTGCTCCAGTTCCCCGAATTAAGCCTGAATGCCTTCCACATCCCCCCCCCCCCCAGGCGCTGTATAATCCTCCGGGTTTAGCGCTTCCCCCTTGATTATTATAATAATAATCACATGCTGCTTTGCTGTTTCTGTACTTTTTTATTTATTTATTTATTTATAAATTTTAGCATTCATACAGAGGTACAAAAAAATACAGATAAGAGCAGCATGCCAAAGCCACTTATACTATGCATAGCATTACGGGCTGGCTTAAAATTAACTTAAGATTAACTAAGCAATGATGAAATCAGTGATAAGACATTATTGTAAACAGATAACTATAAAATACAAATGAGTATTACAAAGACAGGTCATATGGTTGCATGCATTGCTGTTCATTCAGGTAGTGTATTTGAAAAAAAAAAAAAAAACTAAGAACCTAAGAAAGAAGGAACACTGCAGCAGGCCTACTGGCCCATGCGAAGCAGGTCTAAGTCTCCTACTAGCCTAAGCCAGTGCCCCAACCTAGTCAGTTCAGGTCACATTCACTTAAGGAAGGAACACGGCAACTGACCTAGTAGCACAAGCTAGTCAGGTCCAACTCACACCCACCCACACCCATTCATGTATTTATCTAACCAATTTTTAAAGTTACACAACGTTTTAGCCTCTATAACTGTACTCGGGAGTTTGTTCCACTCATCCACAACTCTTATTACCAAAACCCGTGCTTTCCTATCTCCTTCCTGAATCTGAATTTTTCCAACTTAAAACCATTGCTGCAAGTCCTCTGTAGGCTAGATATTTTTCAGCACACTGTTTTACATCCCCTTTATTTATTCCTGTCTTCCATTTATACACCTGTCCAACATTTAGAACCTTGCATTTGTCTATATTAAACTGCATCTGCCACTTCTCCAACTAGTGCATCAGTCTATTCAAATCTTTCTGGAGTGCTCTAATGTCCTCGTCAGAATGAATTCGACGGCCTATTTTGGTGTCATCGGCAAACTTGCTTATGTCACTCTATGCCCTCATCAATGTCGTTTATGTAGATTGTGAACAACAGGGGGCCCAACACTGACCCCTGTGGAACACCGCTTAATGCTTCCCCACTCTGATTTCTCTCCATTTATGCAAACTCTCTGCTGCCTATTTGTCAACCATGCCTCTATCCATGCCTCTATCCTTAATTTTCCTCAATAGTCTCTGATGTGGGAGCCTGTCAAAAGCCTTACTGAAGTCCATATACACAATATCAAAATTCATTACCATGATCTACCTCTTCCATAAACTTTCCCACTATGGAGGTTAAGCTTATTGGTCTATAGTTCGAAGTTAAGGACCTGTCACCTGCTTTGAAAATAGGTATCACATTTGCCATTTTCCACTTATCTGGCATCATGCCAGTCTAGTGATATGTTGAAAAGATTAGCCAAAGGTTTGCTAAGCTCCTCTTTACATTCCTTTAGAATCCTTGCACACAGTTCATCAGGGCTTGGGGATTTGTTAGGTTTTAATTTATCTATTTACCTAAGGACCATGTCACTTGTAACCCTAATCGTGCATAGTTTATCATCATCTTGTTCTACATAGTTTATTATTTCTGGAATATCACTAGTATCTTCCTATCACTGTGAGCTGAACCGAGTAACTTTTGAGTGGGCCTATCTTGTCCCTGATCTTACTTCTGTATACCTGAAAGAATCCTTTTGGGTTAGTCTTCGATTCTCTTGCAACTTTAACTTCATAATCTCATTTTGTTCTTATTCCCTTTTTATTTCTAACTGAATATATTGATAACTTAATTGCCCCTCTCCTCTTTTGATTAACCTATATATGCCTCTCTTTTGACCAGTGAGATGTTTTAATGTATTGTTCATCCATTTAGGATCATTTTTGTTTGATCTGATTTCCCTATTTGGAACATAAGTTGTCTGAGCAGTTAGAACTGTGCCCTGGAAAACGTCATATCGGCAGTCATCACCACCTACCTGACCCATAGTCAGGTCATTCCAGTTCAGCCCACCCAAGTAATTTTTCAGTCGTATGAAATCAGCCAAGCGGAAGTCAGGGACAGAGACTTGATTGCCATTATTAGGGGAATTCCATGATATATTAAAACTGAGTGATTTGTGATTACTTTCCCCAAGCTCATCATTAACCTCAAGATTATTAATTAGCATTTCCCTGCTGGCAAGAACCAAGTCAAGCAGGTTATTTCCTCTAGAGTGTAGTAGGATACAGACAGGATGTCAGCACACCATATCTGTGGGACATGTAAAAAAATCCTTGGAAGGAAATCCAGAATCACATGCAATCTCTGCTTTTCCAAACACCATATCTCTTGTACTAGACTAAATACAGCCTCAAAAAATGACATCGAACTAGCAAGGTGTTTCTGGTTGTGTAATAAAGATGTAGAACTTTGGACAGGTATCAGAAAGGTACTAAGGAGAGTAATAAATGATAAAAATAATCAAGAAAACAAAGATGACCTCTTGGATAGTCTACCAAAAATATGTATAACATGGGAGCAAGAGATAGTGTATCAAAAAATGCAGAATGCCCATACCACAACAGATGACTCGAAACTATCTAGCCACCCACATAGTGTTAAACCAGACCCATCCCCGAGTCATAGCACTAATACCCACAGTGCTGGTGCTGGCCCAGGCTCATCCCCCAGCCCCAGTGCTGACTCAGACCCAGCCCCCAGCCTTACTGCCAGCCCAGACTACTAGGGACCCTACCACAACCACCACTAAAACCGTAAATATACAACCATCATTGCACGAGACCGTGGCCCACAGTACAGATGTTGGAGAGGAGTCTCCTCCTTCCTCTACTGAGGAAAGTAGATGGAATCCAGGACGGGGTGGCCCAGGCTTGGATACTGAGGATTATAGTGCAGTCCCAGAACCTGCAGAAATTGACAACACACCTCCCAACAATTCTCAACCAAAGGTGAATTTGTGCAAATATTATGCTTGGGGCATCTGTAAGCATGGAATATCAGGAAAAAAAATAGGACATGCAACTTTGAGCATCCCAAAAAATGTAGTGACCTCCTGTCTAAAGGAGTGTGTCGTTCTTCCTGTACTTTCTTTCACCCAAAAATGTGTCGCTCCTCGGTCCTCCAGAAGCAGTGTTACAACATCGACTGCCCTGCATTCCTTTTACACTTGTTGAAATATCTCTGAATACTGATTACTCCCCCTGCCATTCACTGGAGGTTTGATACACCATCTACCAAGTCTCTTGTGTTCACATACCATCTAAAAGGGACCAGGAGGCACAGACCCCACAAGACAAACAATAGTAGCTACGACAACCCAACTCCAGGTGATTTTTTAGTGGCAGGAAACGGAAAAAGAAAATGGAAGGAAATTACAAAAATAGTCCACCACCTTGGAGCCTTGTTGGACTGGAGGTGCAGCCAGTGGCCACCCATGACTCTCCAGAATTACAACTACTGATGCCAATAACAAAATCCCCCCAACAAACACAGAATACAACCTCGTTCATATTTGCTAATATACAGGGCCTTAAGCCATCCACCAACAACAAAATACCTTTTATCAGTGGACTTCTAGAGGAGTCTAATGCAATGTTTGCAGCCTTCATAGAGAGACTCACAAAAGATCACTTTGGCAGTGAAATATGGATAAGTGGTTACAACCTTTTTAGATGCAACAGAATGAACAGGCAACAAGGGGGGTTGGCCAGTATGTCGAAGTCCCTCATCTGCACGGAACTGCTGAACACCACAAATGAGGTAGTTTAAGTTCTGTCAATAAAGATCGAGAAACAAAACCTAGTCATTGTGGTTGCATATAAACCACGAGATGCAACCTCACAACAGTTCAAGGAACAGCTACTGAAAATTTATTACTGTTTGGAAAACCTTCCAGCTCCATCCCCTAACATCTTATTGCTTGGTGATTTCAAAATGGAAGAATATAGCAAATAATGTTACAGCTGAAACAATCCCTGGGGGTAGTGCAGATGAAAGGTCACACACACATGAGCTACCAAGTCTCTGCGAAAACACACCTTAAGCCAGCAGATAGTGGAGCCAACAAGACTAGAAAACACACTTGACCTTATCTTCACAAATAATGAGGACCTGATAAGAGACATAAGAATATCAAAAACAACTAATTCCGATCACAACCTAATCGAAGTCCAGACGTACATGCATAGGGGTCCTGATCAGCAGAATGCATGTACCTGTGAAGGTGTGTTCACAAAATACAACTTCAACAACAAGAACATCACTGGGACCAGGTAAACCATGTCCTAAACGAAACATGTTGGGAGGATATCTTAAATGACATGGATCCAAACCAGTGCCTTGAAAGGATCAACTTCCTGGCAGCTGAAGCAT